TGGCTAGAGTTGAATACCGTAATCTTCTGGGTCTAGTATAGACCTGGCCTAACTGAAGGGTAGTCAGGAATGCTCAGTGCAGACACTGTCCCACTGAGAGAATTTAACATGGAATTCAGCCCTCTATACTGAATGAGTCAGACCCTGGTGTGCAGTGCGACCTGCCTCGAGAGGCTCACATGAGTCTTTTGATCAAGGGAACGGGAACCCACTCAGTGGGCTGAGACAAACATGTCACGCTTATTGAATGTACACTGTACACACGAACCTGTGCAATACATGAATAGGCTGAGATGTTCAAAACTACCAACGGGGGGTGGAACCAGGTACCTAAATCTCCTGCATGGTTTTGTAAACTCCAGCTGTGTATTATAACCCACGGTGGGTCTTTTGTATGTACATGATGTGCCTGCGCACGCACTCATTCTCAAAATATAAAGGATAGCTGAGTTACAAGGATATTATTATACGCAGAGTGTGTCAGGATATAACAATCCATGCAAAGGAAATACAAATAGGTGACATTGTTTATTGCCTTCTTTCACTCATAGCAATTTGGATGGATATAAATGCAGCACCACTGAAATGCAGCTCCCTTTGGGATGGGAAGGCAGAAGACACACATGCACAGTCTACTAAATAAGAAGGCATATGGGCAGGAAGGATTTTTTCCAGAGACACCAGGGCAAATCTTGTCTCTTATCATAAAACTGTAGGACTTGACAGGACCTCAGAGCTTCTAGTCCAGTCCCCTCCACTCAAGGCAGGTGCCAGGGCAAGTAGCCTGGAATTTTTAATGTCCATGCAGAGCTGACAGGCCATGGTGTTTAAAGCTTAGTCAGAAAGTTCTCCCGCAAGCTTGGGACTCAAGTTATGCCTCCATAGCATGGAGACACAATGTGACCCTGCACTCTGGGAATCAAAGTCCTCAGTTAAGTTCTGAAGACTGCTATTATACCTGGACAGTCACAGGGGATTGGGGAGCACCCTGCCCCCAAGATGTGTGGTACTTTCTGTTCTCTTTTCTTAGCTTCATTCTGCTTATTTATTATTTGTACTGCCGTTGATCTAGGAGGCCCCATCATTAGAGCCCTGCGTGGATACAAAATTAGTATCTGCATCCACAAAAACGAGCAGCAGATATTTGTGTTTACCACAGTGGATGCAGATACCCACAGATATAAAGCAGATATCTGGATTTGCAGGGCTCTACCCATTGTGCGGGGCACTGTACAAACACAGAACAATAAAAACTGTCCTTGCTGTCAAAGAGTTTCCAACCACATATGAAATGGATAAATACAAAAATGTGACCCGGGTTTTTCAAAAAATGACGCTAAAGAACCCTAGAGTCAAGCAGGAGCAGACGCAGACTCGCCTTACTAATCCCTCTGCCATTCTCTGCAGTTAGCATTTTGCAGCATTGCAATGCAAAAAGAAAACCTGGAAAAAAGTGCCGCATACGCTAACATTCCCTCTAATTTTTCCACCCATGTGCAGAATAAATTTTGTGGTGTGCACTGAGGCATGTGCAGATGTGCACCACCAGTAGGAACATATGCTGCCAGCTGGGGGTGCTCTGCTAATCAGTTGGGCGGTATTTGAATCTCACCTGGGAGGTTGCCCAAGCACTCAGCTTATAGGGAACATTGGCGTACACACTTGAAAACTGGACAAATCAGAGAGGGGAAAGACCCTGATATCCCTTTCCCTGGTCCCAAAGCCTCTCCTTTGAGGTTAGGATAAGACTGAGAGTCAAGGGAGGGTTAAATATCAATGAAATATGCTTAACTGTCTGTCCTTAAGTGACACCTAGTGGAAATGGCAGGACACCTTAAATTCCAGGGGTGAAATGCTAGCCTAGCTGATGTCAATGGCAAAACTCCCACTGACTCCACTGGGGCTGGGATTTTACCTCATGAGTCTCTGTAAAGCCCTTCAAACGGCTCCAGCAGGTCAGCCAGCAGGTTTCTAGCAGGGGCACTTCATTTAGTACTGCCCAACGAGCCGTGGGACGAGATGAAATGCACTGAGCTCCTTTACTCCCTGGCACAGCACTGACCCGCGTGAGCTGAAGGAGCGGGGAGGCAAAGCTGGCAGATTGCCTTAGAGTAGGAACAACAGTGAGGTTTGCTCAGGGTAGGAGCAGGCCCTTCTGATTCCAGGATTCACTCATATTTAAGGCCTGCTACTGGTCTGGGGCTTCTGCTTAAAAGCTTGGTGCCTCGGGTGCTAGTTGCAAGAGGCGCATGAACCTCCGGGCTCCCAGCCTAGTGCCCGGGGCCCCTGCTGCGGGCTCTGCGCACTGGGTTTTCGGCTACCACCCCATACCAGGAGCTCTGCTGCCAGCCCCATGTGCTAGGGTCCCAGTTAGAGCCCCACGTACCGGAGCAGCAACCAAGAACCCAGCACTCAGAATCCCAGCTGCTGGTCCTGCATGCAGGGGGTTTGTTCTTGGCCTCAGCTGGGGGTGGGGATGCACAGGGGCAAAGGGACTCAGTACCCCCACTTTTAAAAATGTTTCTGCGCCACTGCTGGCTGCCCACCCCAGTTTCCACCCGCCCATTCTTTTGAGCCAGACTGGCAGGGAGTCCCGCGCTTGCGGCTGCCCCAGCGCCCTGAAAGGCCAGCCAATGGAAGCAAAGCCTGCAGCCTGCGGCTGTATTTATGTGTAGTGCTGGGCCAAAGCCCTGGGTGGAAACCTGAAACCCAGTGAGATTTGGATTAGCAACCCGAAACTCAGGCCAGGTTTGCAAGCCTGTTGGAGGAGCTTGGCTGTGTTTCAGGCCAGCTCGGGCTGTGTTTCAACTCAGCGCGGGCTGACCTTGGAGTGAGCTCACTGTGGACTTCTCCGGGAATATGGGCTGAATATTAAGAGAGTCTAGGGACTGACTTTCTGGAGAAGACAGAGACAGGGAAAGCATTGGGCAGAAAGGATGCAAACCTCTGTGGTTTGGAGTGATGTTTCCCAGCCACCCACCTGCCCTCAAACCAGCAAAACCAGACTGGTGGTTTCAGTTGAATTTCACTCTGAGTTTCAGTGAAAATTTAACCCACTATTCAGTGTGTGTGAAGCATCCCCTTCTGCACCTAAGGCGTAGGGAGCCATGCCTGTGGCAAAGCTCCCAGCAAGAAATGTCAGCTCTTTAACACCAGCAGGCTACAGCCTTAGTTCTGAAGGTCCCACACATAGTCCTGCTCCTGTTCAACCCCAACACACTCAGATGCCAGACTTGGGGTCCAAATGCCCCTAGAAGTTGATCGAGAGGCCTACCCCAAAAAGGTACCTCACTTTGAAGAAAATCGCTGCTCCTAACCCCAGAGTGACCTTCCACGCAGCTTTGGTGTCCCCCTCCTTTTTATTGTTGAAAATTATTGTACACCAGCAATACAGAATCTCCAGCTGGAGGAGGGAGAAAGGGGCACTGACAAAGGAATCCCATTGCAGTTTTTAAGTTTTCCTGCATGAATAATTTATCTTGTGTCCTTCATTCGGGCTGTGTCCTGCATTCCATCCTGCACTGGCAGGCGGAGAGGTCTCAGCTGCAGTTTCACATCAGTCCCAGCTCCAATTATGTGGTTATGTTACAGTTATTTATATCATGTCCTTACAAAAGTCCCAGTTCCCAACAGAGGCTGGGATTGATTGGGGAAAACTGTGTCCTCCCATCCTTTCCTCAGTAGATGGCACTCTCCAGCCACTGTTACTATGATATACAGTGCAATCATCTATAGTCAGGGCTCGACAAATAATGCAATCTACTTGTCCATGGTGAGTAGATTGCAACCCGGAGGAGCCGGGTTCAGGTGACCTGTGCATGCGCAGAACGATTTGCGCATGCGCAGATCGCCGGACAGCGCAGCTGGCGAGCAGGGCTTGCTGAAACGCGGTGAGCCCTGTCTATAGTTGTCTAACACTTATGCATAGCCCAGGTTGTGCTAGTTCAAAATGGTGACCTACAGTGCCCAGAAGAGCTGGCTGCTTTAGTGGCGTTTCGGGGTCTCATACAGAAAGAAATACGATCCATCCTATTGAGCCTAGAATTTCTGATCGCCTTTGACAGTCACCTAATGCCACCTTTGCAGCTTGCATGTGACGTATGGGTCTAATGTCGACAGAGGCAGAACCGAACCGGGGACCTCTGGAGCTCAGTGCATGAGACTCTATCACTTGAGCTAAAAGGCAGCTGGCTCACAGCTAAGGATATGGAGCAAACTCATTTTTTCTCTCTGTAAGTGGTCTAAGTGCCACTACATGGGACAGTGAACCACACCGGGTAGGCGTGTGAGTTGCATGGGCAGCAGGTCGGGAAGTTATGTCCTTGAAGGCCAGTTTGCTCTCACATCGTCACGCTATAGAGAAGCCAAAGAGGAGCTAGCTGATGTAGAATTTCCAGCCCTCCCCCGTGACGGTGTGTGGGCTTTGCCCTGGGCAGCTACATGAATACATGCTTGTATTTTCAACTGAACCTTGTGTCTCTGAGCCCAGAGTAGAGCGTGTGGTGAGGCATTCCTCGGGGGTTTGGCGTGTGGCTGCTCCTGCTATGGTTTTCAGTGTGACACTGATAACGTGGCCCACCAGCCTACGTTGGGCTTTCAGTTCCCTCTCACTGCGCCTTTCCCTTTCATGTGCTGTGCTGCTGTGGTTTGCAAGGCCCAGCCCAACACATCCTCTGACTGGCTGCTGGAGGAGTCAGAGAGAGGAAGCCAAGAAAGGGAAGCTGATGGATTTCCCTTCTGGGTCTATGGAAGAGTGGGGGTGGCGGGAGGTGGGTGTAGCCAGATCGAAAATCAGATAGGGACAGAAGACAGTCGACCTCCTTCCTTCCTTCCATATTTTCTCCGCTTGACAAGCCCCCAGCATGCGTCAGCCCACAGAACAGAGAAAGGAAGCAGATTCTGGTCAGTGTTTACACCACCACCCTGGGAGCAGTTCCAGAGCGCGTGAGCTTGGTGTGCCTGCAGTGACCCCCTGGCACCACAAGAAGGAGCCTCTTCCCCACGAACAGTATAAGAGCACACAGGAGAGGGAGTAGGCGGCCTTTGCTTCTAGTGGGGCTTGGGTCTCCTGGTTTTGCTCACAGCTTGTGGCGGTGCTGTGTGTGTTCTGGAGCCATACGCCTAGCAACCAGGTAGGGCTAAAAACTCCCCAAGACTGGCCTTTTCCTTGGGATCTCCTGGCCAGGGCGTATGAAGTCTGCCTGGTATTCAGCCGGGCCTCTGCCACCCATCTCTGGCGTCTGGCCTGCTGAAAGCCAAACGCCCCAGGGATAACTCTGCTCCCAAGCATGTAAGAGTGCATGGCCAATGCTGCATGGGAGCAACGGGCCGAGATGCACCACTGGTCAGACGCAGCGTGCCTGGTCCTACGCACTGGACAATAGAGACTGTTACACTTGCAGGGATGTTCCCCCTGCTGCCATCTTTTTCGGTGCCCTGCAGAGGCCTGCGGACCCCGCGGGTGTGAAATGGAAGGCAGTATGGCGTCGTGCAGAGCGACACAAGAGAGCCAAGTTCTCTCCCTCACTCTGCCACAGCCCTGCTGGGTGGCCTGGTCATCTCACCTCCCTACCTCCATTTTGTATATCCTGGCTGCCTAAGTCGGCAGCTAGTGCAGAACTGCCGCCGTGTGTTGAGGGAGCGAGGACATTTGTCCCTGGCCATGTGTGGTGACCTGCTGGTCATCTGTTAGCACTGATACGTGTCTTAGAAAGAGCCAGACGGATCAGGCCCTGAAGCCTGGGGTGTTGATAACCCTCAGGGCCATTATCCTACAGAATCGACCTCTGTTTTCCTTGGTTTAACATAGCGGGTCTCAAACTTTTTTCCTCACGACCCAGTTGAAGAAAATTGTTGCTGCCCACGACCCAACCTCATTTGACTGGAGTGTGGGCTGTGGGGTGGGGCTGAGGAGGAGAGCTTTGGGCCGTAGGAAGGGGCTCTGGCTTTGGGGGTGAGTCAGGGCTGGGGCAGGAGGGGCTGACCTTGAGCGGCTTCAGGACAGCAGTACAGGCAGATTCCTGCCTCTCCTGGCACCGCAGACCATGCTGCGCCCCAGAAGCAGCCAGGAGCAGGTTCCCAGCCCACGGCAGTGCGGAGCTAGTGGGCAGGGTAGGGGCAGTGCACAGAGCACTGTGCACTTTCCCTCCCACATAAGAGCCAGGCCTGTTGCCAGCTGCTTCTAGGGCACAGCACAGTCTGCGGTGCCAGGACAGGCAGGCAGCTGCCTTAGCATCCCCACTGGTCACCTGATCCCCCGACAGCAACGAGATCCAGCGCCCGACATTCCACCACCCAGTTGTGGGTCACGTCCCGTTGATTGAAAAGCACTGGGTTAGAAAGACCCTAGCCAGACGGGTCATGCCCTGAAGCCTGGGGCGTTGATAACTCTCAAGGCCATTATCCTACAGAATCGACCTCCGTTTTCCTTGGTTTAACCTACTGAGCTATTTGCCTCAGTCATTGTCATTGGATGTGTGCATCTGCCATTCCCAGAGGAATGAGCACTACTATCCTTGCTTTGCCCTCTGGCTTCTTTCGCCTGTGAGTTCTGTCTCCCACTGAGCACTCGGTGTTCTGCGCAGCCTTCGGTTACAGGGGTGTAACTCCAACCCTGAGAACAGATGGGGCCTATGGATCTGGGGGTGGCCACGGGACCCTGCTGTAGGTGCAAGAACTAGGAAACCCATTGGTTGGCAAGCGTATGCCTCTCCCCGTCAGTTATTTATAGCACAGCCCTCGGAGAGCTCTTGGCACGGCTGGTGTTTCATATGACAGGCTGGGGGCTATTTTTGGCGGATGAATGGAGCCGCTGTGAAGTCTGGCCCTCAATGCCCCCGTCAAGGGTACGGCACCATGTCGCGCAGGGAAGATTTCGCTGCATCACTCTGGACATGTCTCCCTCCCCGACTTAAATTGTTCCACAGGTAGGATACCTACGCATGCTCTGCACGCCGGCTGCGGCTCACTGCTCTCTGACCCCCAGCTTGCTTCCCCACTGCCTCAGGGTCAGTGCTTTCCCCAGCAAACGCGCCAGGCAGCCGGGGCTCTGCAAAACCTCTGCAGCTTGAATGCCTTCCGGTGGCAATGTTGCCCCTCATCACGCCTCCAGGCAGGCGCAAGAGACCAAATCCTCAGCTGGTGTAAAGTGAAGTCAGTGGAGCTGTTATACCAGCCAAGGAGGTACAGTGACTTGTAAAGAAGGGTGGTGGAAGGTGTGCATGGAAATAGGTAGGTGCAGGCCACAGAGGAGTCTGCCCCTGAAAGGACACTTTGTCCCATCCATTAAGCTCAGATCCACTGAGCACTGAGCTAGTTAAGAACCTGCAACACCCCAGATGTACAGAAATTCGTCTGTGCTCCTCTGATCTCTTGCAGTAGCTCCGAGGCTGCCCCCTAATGCTGATGCAGATAAAATTAGAAAAGCCCAACCTGCATCTAACATGGCATTTAGGATAATTGATCCTAACAGAGACGGTGCCTCTTCCAACTGGCATTTTAGAATAGTTTATCCCGGGCTGCACTAAAGCTTCCGGGGCATGAAAGCAGAGGGTTGTCTCCACTATGTAACTGCTGCAGATTGCTCAGGTAGCGTGCCCCTGGCAGGCTGCTGTAGGTATTAGCTGTGTCATGCATGCTGTAACCCTAACCCTAAGTACAAAGGTGCCTTCAGGGAGGCAGCAACTGCTGTGCGGATGAATATGCCAAGATCTTAGCGTCCCCTTGGTTTCAGCAGCAAGCGAATGGGAATGGCAGCAGCACAGCTGAATTGTGAAGAAACCGGAGGGGAAAGGGTAGGGCTGTGGGATGGGTTTAGTGGTCAGGGCCATCCTTGCCCATACACAGAATATGCAGCTGCATAGGGCACCCAAAAATTTAGGGTACCACTGGGTTTGGATGTGCACTGAACTACCTCTTCCTATCCCTGGTCCCTGGCTCTGCTTCCTCCAGAGAGGATCTAGTTCATTTAAAAGTGGAAAAGCCAGCCAGAGCTATGAGCAGAACACTGAACCTGTGACAGAGCCATTCAAGTGGTAATGAATCCATTTAACAGGCATTTGCCAAGCCCAGGTTTACGCTGTCCGTTTCTGAATTTACTGTGTTAGTTGACAGGACCTGAGTTTAAAATCTGTTTTAAAACTGTTTCATTCGTGTGTTGCTGAAGATTATAAAATCCCATCTCTAAAACATCACCTCTCCCTGCTCAGGCCTCTGTCCAGCATAGAGACACCAGTTTAATAGTACTGGGCAGGTCCCATAAACCCTAAGGGCAGCCCACGAGTGGCATCTCGGCCCCAGCTCTGAGGGCATTTGGGCACAATTTCCCAGTGCCCTTTTCCTCACTGACGCCCCCTTGCTTTGCCCCTGCAGAAATGGAGAATTTCGAGTACAGCATCCAGCTGAATGACCGAGACTGGGCAGAGTTTTACTTGGCTTCGGAAGAGTGCAGTTTGATCCCGGCTGCCCTGGCCAGCGCAGACGAGCAGTGCTTCAGTGACATTGAGCAAGGGGACAGCGAGGACGACAGCCTCCGCCCCACCCGGCTGATCACAGTCAGGGCAGGCTGCACGCCGGCTGTTGGCACAGGACACTACCCCCAGCGTGGTGTCCTCAGAGAGACCTCTCCGTCCTGGCCTTTGCGCCTGGCCCGGGAGGAAGTTCTGTCGGGCAGCGAGGATGAAATGGATGTAGGTTCAGTCAGCAGGTTTCTGTGTGAGAACGACAAGCCTGGAAATGCCCATCAGGCTGCGCTGAGGCCTAGCACCCAGGACGGGCAGCTGCCCTTTTTCTCAGAGGCCGGGTCTATGGGCCCAGCCAGCCCTGCTCTGGAGAAGCTGCTCCTGCCCCAAGACAGCCTCCGCCAGGAATTGGGCCAGACTGCAGAACGTGCAGCAGCCGCACGGGCAGGAGGGGGTGTGCCAGACGGAGCTCTACAGCCGGGGGGATTACTGAGGGTGCATCTACAAAGCAGGCCAGAGAAGGCAGAGTCTGAAAGGCCAGTTCATGCAGCGGATGGAAGCTCTCCAGCAACTGCTGCCTCAGAAGGGGTGGAGAGGCCAGCGGGAGAAAAGGCTAACTGGCCTGTCTGCTTAGCGGCCAGGCTGCCCGACTCAAACGGTGCCATTTCCCAGAATCCATCTGCAGGACCCCTGCAGCCAGCGTGTTCCAGGATAGCAGGGAAGAGCTGCCCTGCTAAGGAAAATCCAGAGGAGCGCAGACGTCTAGGTCACACTTGGACTGCTTCGGGCTCCCCTGGAGACTCTCCGGCTGTCATGGAGCCTATGCACTGGGGGGAGAGCTGTGAGCACCAGGGAACACCCACAGACGAGGTGACACCATCGCATGGGGCCCTGGCTCCAGCTTTGGAGTTTTTAACCCCCTCTGCCCTACTGCGAGAGAGCAAAGGGGAGGGAACAGCAGCCAAACCGGCTCTTGAGGGACTGGCAGGTGAGGATGAAGCTTCGCAATATGGTACCTGGACCTGTGGTGTGCTCAGGGATGAGGGGCGAGGGCTAGTACTGGGAGGTCAGGCGGCCAGCACTCCCAGGAGCAAGGGGGTGAAAGGTCCAGCAACGCAGTCCTTCCCAGAAGTGAAGCAGGCCAGAGGGGCAAGGCCAAAGCAAGCAACTGATTCAGGTGTGCGAGAGAATGCGCCGTCGGCTCCGAGTCGCACACCCAAGGAGTCCCAGAGCGAGGCGTGTGAGAGCACCACAGGGAAACCCCTGCATCTTGGAAACAAGGAGGCCTTTGGAGGGGATGTTGAAGATGGTGCCCATGGAAGGCAGAGACCTGGGCTCTTAAGAAGGATGTTTTCTCTTCATTCAGCAGCTGAGGACTCTCTGGAGGGGGCCACACCTGCCCTGACCTGGCCAGAGATGTGTGACTATTTTTTCTGTGACACCCAGGAGCCCAAGAACAACCAGGGACGGGTGGAGGAAACTCCCCTTTCTTTCTCCAAGAAGGAGCAGGAGGTACCCGAAATGTACGGGCCTGAGATGTACGAATATTTCTTTAACGACCCTGAAGAAAGCTGGGAAGGAGGCAGCAAAGAGACCTTTGTGGAGCCAGACAGGGCCAGCGGCAGCTTAGTGCAAACCTTGTCACTGTGCGAAAGCCGAGAGGAGCCGGGCTTGGCCACAGCCGGCGAACCTGCCGGTGTTCTCTCCATCCCGGAGATTTACGAACATTTCTTTGACGACGGAACAAGGGGCAGGAGGAGCTGGGGGGAGATCTTCCTGAGCATGCCGGCCTGGGAGGCAAGAAAAGCCATGATGGCTGTGAAATCCCTCCTGCGAAAGCCAACGTGCCTGGTCAGATGCAGCCCCCGCAATCGTGCGGCCCCGGTACCAAGAGGTTCCAGAAAGAGGCTCCCACTTCTCCAGTTGAGGCTTCCCACTAGAATCGAGCTGCAGCCAGAGGATCTAGGCATGGCCCCTGTCCTAGCAGGTAAATGTTTGATCCTGCCCCCGGCTGGTTCCTTCTTGCTGCCCAGAACCAGTGCTGGATTCCCGAGGCCCAGAATGATCCTGTACTGCCTCTGCCCCAACCCCATGTGCTGGGTTTTCTGACCTTGCGCTACGAATCAAACAGTTCTGTCCTCTTAGTTAGCCTGAGCCTCATCTTCAAACACATTGGAGGAAGGGCTTACAACCTGGGTTTGATCAGAGAGACTCCCTTGAACCTGTCCTTTGATGTGCTGAAATACCACTGAGCTCACCTACCTGCCCTCCTGGGCACCCCTCAACCTTCTGTCCTGCTGAGCCAGGCCCTCTGGCCTCCTCCCACATTGCCACCGAGATGGGGTCACAGCCCTTTGCAGTAGACGCTGAGATCAGCTCAGATCTGGGAAGGCTCAGCCAAGGAGACTTGCCCCAGCACCCAGGTTCACAGCTCCAATGGGACCTGACCCCCAGATAAATCCGCCTTGCTCTGTATAAAGTCTTATACAAGGTAATCTCAGGGTAAAAAATGATGCACAGACACCTTGCCTCACCAAGTAACAGTTACTTACACTGGGTTTATGAATACACCAAAGTGATTTTATTAAGTGTAAAAGATAGGACTGAAGTGGTCATAAGAGCAGATAGAACAAAGCAGGTTACTAAGCAAAACAAAACAGAACACGCAAGCTAAACGTACTGCACTAGAAGCTGGTTACATGTAATATCTCACTCAGATAGAACAGCCTCCTTGTCTGGGTTCAGTCCTTCCCCCCCGTTCAGTCACAGATGTTTCCAATCATCATCTTGGGTAGTAAGCAGGGGGATCCCGACAACTGGTTTTGCAAAAGATGGAAACCCTTTGTGTTCAGCTTTAAACTTTTCCCTCATTTTCAGTGGAAAAGTACAGCCTCCAAGATACGTCCCAGCATTAGGTTACATGGCCACACATCTTGGTAGGACCAGCCACACAGCCTTCTTCCAGACTTACAGGAAAAAAACAGTCTATTCACAGATCATTGTCTTGAGTATTAGGCCATTAAGTTCCTTAAGTACAACTAATGGCCCTTAGCATGACTACATTAGTAACACCAGCTTATACTTCATGTTTCTAACTGCAAATACAGGACTGATAGATGCATAGAAATGGGAAAATCATATTCAGTAGATTATCACTTTTCCAGTGATATCTTATATGGGGCTACGTCTAGGCAGCAGAGTTTTATCGGAAAAAGATACACAAATTGCGAACCACAATTTGCATATCTTTTTACGCTTTTTTCGGAAGAGGCTTTTCTGAAATTTGGCCCATCTACAAGGGGCCAAATTTTGGAAAAAACTCCTGTTTCGGAACATCCCTTATTCCTCTCACCGAGAGGAATACAGAGATGCTGAAAGAACACACCTGCTTTTTTGGAAACTGTTCTGAAAAAGTGGACATGTTCCCTGGACGCGGCAGAGTTTTTCTGGAACCTCAGGTATCCCGGAAAAACTGCAGTCTAGACATAGCCTGGGGTATTTTGCATAAAGCATATTCCACTTATAGCATATTCATCTTCATAAGCATGTTTTCATAAAGCCTATGGAATGCCCCGTGACACTGGGAATCCCTCGGCATGATGAAAGCATAGCTTGGTCATGCGTTGTGGCACTCAGATCATACACTAACCATGTTCCCTCACTGCCTAACAGCCTTGGACTTAGGTAGGGCTGTTTGGGAGTTGATCCTATTGGTATTACAAAGCCCAACTGTTTTAGGATGTTGACTCTTCCACCACTAACATTCTAGCAGGTGTCAGCCCTGTGCAGGTCAGCTTCCTAGGGACCTGAAGTTTGGGGTTATGCTGTGTATAACTTGCCTTACTAATGTACATTCACCAGTCCTGGAGCAGAGGTGGTCACAAACAGCATGCAGGCAACACTGGTGCCCAACTCCCAGGGGACAACTCTACCTCCAGAACTGACTTTGCTTTTTCTTTCTGTTTTGGGTGCAAATTAAACTCTCCTGGTTCCCTGTAAACAGAACTGTGTGCAACCCAAACTAACACCACCACAAGCTTTTCTTCCAAGACTAAACTCTTGCCCACATGCTAAGCAAGAGAACTTGGAAGGAAGATAGTGTGTAAATACTAGCGACAACTGATTTGACCTTCTCCACACTGGTCAGGGTAACCAAGCTAGAAATCTGCTAGCCACAAGTGTGTTTAAACCCAACTGTGGACAGGGCCCAACTGAGTTCAGAATCCAGCTTCGCTGCGTCACAATACGCGTACCAAGATAGCACGATGATTGCTGAGCCGGTAAGCCTGAGCTGTGACAGTCATAATGTTGGCAGAGAGAAAAGCAACCTGGGACCTTCCCATACTTACCCGTGCAGAAATAGATGAGAACATTAGAATCAAAGCTAATTTAATAAGCACCCGCCAGAGCCTCTAAAGGTTACTCAGGCGTTGCTTATTACTGTGAGTGGGTAAGAGAGGCTGGGAATAGGAGGAGAGGAAATCTGACCCATTAGCACAGCCAGTGTATTTATTTAAAAGCTTATACTGTGCTTAAAGCTACAGCATATTAAAAACAAACAAATATATCTTGAGCCATCCCAATGGGGGATGTTGCAAAGCGCTGCTTCTTTATCTGCCTGGAGAAAAGACTGCGTTGGTGGTAGCTAATTAATAAAACTGGCTTTAATTAAAAACCTGATTAAACAAGCAAACCAACCAACCCTCTTGCAACATGCCTGGAAAATTGTTAGCACGGGGAATCCAACAGAGTGAGAGGTCCAAAGAGAGGCCTGTCTTAAGCCCTGGAGACCAGCCCAGAAGCTCCGATAGCCATGATGGAGAGTAGGGGAGTGAAGGCTTCACATAGAACTAATAACCGTGCTTAGTGAGATCCATGGATCTCAAACCACTTTCCAAGGATGGCTACTTCTCATTAACCCATTTGAACAGGTGGTGAAACCATCAGCAGAGTCAGGTCTCCCCAGTCCAGCTAGATCACCCTCTTTCCAAGAGGAAAGCTTGCCTGGTAGATAGGGCACTAGCTGCAACTCAGGAGACCTGGGTTCTGTCCCCATGCTCTGCCGCAGACTTCTTGTGTGGCCTTGGGCAAGTCACTTAAGGTATCTCTGCACTGCATTGTGGTTGTTGGACACAGGCTCTCTCAGCCCACACTGCAAAGTAAACCTGCATTTGCACTTGCTTGAGCCAGGTCTCTCAGCAACGTTAACACATTCCTACTGAACTGCACAGAATTTCTGACTTGGGTATGTACCCTAGGTTGTGTCCACACTGGGCTTGGGTCTGAGTCACAGAGAGCTCTACCCCAGCAGCATCCTAGGAACTGGGTGCTGAGTGCTCCTGGAACCAAGTTAGCCTGATGGAGAGAAGGGGTCTTGAGCTCCAAGCGGAGCCTGAACCTGGGCTTAGTGTGTGGTGTTGACATACACTTAGTTTCCCTGTGCCTCAGTTTCCTGGATGTAAAATGGGGATAATGCCACTTTCTAACCTCAGAGGGATGTTGCAAGGATAAATCCAATAGGGCATGTCTACACTACCACAAAAAAGCCGGCCGGCGCCATTTTTAAATGCCGGCTAGTTTGAACCCCGTGCCGCGCGTCTACACGCGACACGGAGTAGCTAGTTCGGATTAGGCTTCCTATTCCGAACTACCGGTACACCTCGTTCCACGGATAAGAAGCCTAATCCGAACTACCTAGTTCATGCTGCGTGTAGCCGCGGGTACGGAGTCCGAACTAGCGGACATTTAAAAATGGCGGCGCCCGGCAAGATGCAAATGCAGCCCGGGAAATTCAAATCCCGGGCTTCATTTGCAACTTCGGTTGCCTACATTAACCACCCTAGTTCGAACTAGGGTGGTAGTGTAGACATACCCTTAGAGACTACGAGATACTCTTATCCCATAGTAAAAGGAGCTAGGTAACTTGGCTAGATAGACCTGCTAGATTCCCAGTTAGCACAGTGTCACGTCTCTTCTCTACACAAATTAAAAGCTACTTTTAAGCTTCTGATTGGCCAACAAATCTGAAAACTGGGTGAGCTATTTAAAACTCAATCGAATGAGAAGATTCTGGGGACCTTTCTTCCAGAAATGGACCAGTGTTCTCCAAATGTTCTAAGAAGGGAATCATGGCTGAACCTATAGGCTGTGTCTACACTGGGCCACTTATTCCGGAAAATCAGCCGCTTTTCCAGATTAAGCTGCGAGCTGTCTACACTGGCCCTTGAATTTCTGAAAAAAGCAATGACGCTCTACTGTACAAAATCAGCTGCTATTCCGGAAAAGCTACGCTGCTCCCGCTCAGGCATAAGTCCTTATTCCGGAACACTGTTCCGGAAAAGGGAGGGTGGTGTAGACATCCTTTCAGCTGCTGTCTGTGGGGCTGGTCCAGCTGCACTGGCCGACCCACTAGTGTGTAAGCAGGGCCTGAGGGAGCCTCCCCACCCGACAGCTCATGAGGAGCTGGGTGGGGGAGGCACCAGGCCCAGCCTTTATTGCCAGGGACACGCCTGTCCTGCCTGGGGTCCTGGCCCACAGAGCTGGGCTGCCCGGGGATCCATTCTGCCTGGGGCTGGGGACCAACCACTGAGGCTGTGTCTATACTGGGCCCCTTATTCCGGAAAAGCAGCCGCTTTTCCGGAATAAACCGCGAGCTCTCTACACTGGCCCCTTGAATTTCTGGAAAAGCACTGACGATTTACTGTAAGAAATCAGCTGCTTTTCCGGAAAAACTATGCTGCTCCCGCTCGGGCAAAAGTCCTTTTTCCGGAAAACTGTTCTGGAAAAGGGCCAGTGTAGACAGCACAGTAGTCTTTTCCAGAAAAAACCCCCGATCGCGAAAATGACGATCGGGGCTCTTTTCCGGAAAAGCGCGTCTACATTAGCCACAGATGCTTTTCCGGAAAAAGGGCTTTTCCGGAAAAGCAGCCTGCCAATGTAGACGCTCTTTTTCCGGAAATATTTATAACGAAAACTATTCTGTTTTAAGCATTTCCGGAAATTCATGCCAGTGTAGACACAGCATACAGGAAGGCTGTCTGTGCTCAGTTGCAAGCATTGGACCTTGCGAAGGAATGAAGGAGGGGGAGGGGGGGAAGACAATGAATCTAAGGCTTAAATACACCAGAAAGGCTTTGGGCTGAAGTGACCACAATGTAAGAGTATTATTAGTAACACCTGGTCCTTAGCTTCAGGTTGTTCTTCTTGCAGAAAGGCCTCACCCACCATTAGCTCTCACGCAGGAGGACATGTGCCTGGTCTTTGTTGCCTTTGCATCCTGGGCTGTGAAGACGTCAGATCTGCAGGCTCCGGACGCATGGAAGACTGGTAGGTGGGATGACTATGGAGGAGAGGAGAAGGGGAGGGGTGACGTGTGGGGGATTTGGTGTTAGTGTTGGAAGGCTGACCGATTGGTTACCTGCTAACGCTGGGCAGATCATACACCCTGGAGCAGAATCTCTCCCTACTGTTTCAGGGCATCTTCCTGCCTTCTAAAATGTTCAGTTTGCCACATTTCCAGTGTTCTCTTCCCCCCCAGGAGGGACCTGATTCCTATCTCACGCTGCATTTCCTCTCCCATAGCTGCTGGTGACTTTGATTATAGTTAGGCGCAAGGGATTCCTCCCTACTGCTTCAGACCAACCCTGTCCTATATCCAGACAGCGACATTATCACCTCTTTTGATCGTATCATACCTTCACACTTAACCTCTGAAGTGTTCTCTAAGGTGCCAAAGCCTGGATGGGGAAACCTACACCTTTGCCTGCCACTGCTCATCTCCCAGTGAAATGCTGGTGTTGGAAACATTGGACGCTGCTGTGATCTGCCAGCCCAGAGAGCTGGAACTGGATGCCAGCCCTTAAAGGGTTAATTAGTTGGCCCTTAAGCTGAGGCTGGGAAGCAGCAGTTAGGGTGGAAGGTTGCTGCCAGGTGGCTGGAGCAATCAGGAGCCCTGCTGTTCCCTGCTTAACTCTGCCACTAACTCACAAGACTTGAAATTCACCCCGTGGGGTGGAGCTAACACAACCCCTATATTCATTGGCTGAGGCTGTGCTCAGCTTTGTTCCTCAGCTTCCCCATCTGGGAAGTGGGTGCAATGGTTTTTATTTAGGTTAAAGGGGGTTTGTGAGGCTAAATTCATTCATTTTTTGCAATGTGCACTGCCCTCTGGAGATGAAAAGTGCCATTGTTGGGCAGAGAAATGGTTTGTTAGCTGTGCTAAGGACAGTCACCAGCCTGAACAACCCATGCAGCAAAAAAGGGAGTCATAGGCAGAGACTTACGGTCTGAAACCTGTTTGCTCTGACTAGACCTCAAAGCAGGGTTCTAGAATAATCCTACAGCTTCCTTTTGGAAATGTCTTTTCCAGTGTTACTGGCAAACTTCGGCACTCTCTCTGCCATCCGTTACTTCAGACGGCAGGCCATCGAAGGACGGCACAGCACCTAAACACTCCCCCGTGGCCCAGACAGAGACACGTCCCGTGGGCCCGCTAGGAAGAGGCCGAGAGACAACTCTGCACCTCACCCTTTGGCAATAAAACAACTCTTTGCAGCCTGGATTCCAGAACAACATCTCTAGATCCATTGGCAGAGTCCTGGCATGGAGTAGGATGCTGGGACATAGCACTGAAATCAGGCACATAATCTATTATCAGCATGATATGCATTTTGTTACACTGGGCAGAATTAGGCCCTGTGCATGCTGGTTCAGTTCTGCTCACTGCCTTGGGCTTGGTCAAACACAACAACGGGAATTGGGGCTAAAAGAATCCATACGTCTGACTGACGTAGCTATGCTGACCTATGCCCTGTGTAGCAACCACTCAACAGACGAATGCTTCTGTCAATATAGCTACCGTCGCTCGGGGGGGTGGCGTTCCAATCCCTTCCTTCAGTGTAGGCTGTGTCCACACTATAGAGCATTGGTGGTCAACCTGCGGCCCATGGGCTGGATGCTGCCCATTGTGGGTCTGTCAGACGTTTTATTTACTGTCGCCCCTGAGCAGTGTTGCCAAATTTCACTGGTTTCCATTCAGGGTTTTTTTTTCCTGCTGGGGTTACTAAAGTGACACACCCGTAAAGCCACGTGAAGGGAGGTGGGTGCTGATCACACACAACACTGACTGGAAGAGCCGTGTGCTCCCTCTGCTTCCAGTCAAAGCGCGGCTACAGTGCAATGGGCACCCTCCTCCCTCCCCACAAATTCTAGGCACACAAGCGCAGGGAGCAAAACTGCCCTGTCCCCGGAGACCGTCTTGGTTCCGACAATCTTGCGGCTCACGGAGATGGAGGAGGGCCACTCATGCAACCCACTCACTGGCCTAGGCTGCCCGTTGCTGCTCTAGAGTTTTGCCACCATAGCTATGCATGTAATACGGGGGGCTGGAACAATTTGTGCAGTGGGGCTACTGAAAGCCATTGAAACAAACCGTGAAGCCCGTATCTAAAGGAAACTGCTGCAAGCCAGGGGGTGCTGCAGCCTCTGTCCCCCCCACGCCCCCGCTGACCTAGTTCAACACCTATGCTGCTAGAGTCCCTGTAGTGTAGCGCTTTCCCCTCGCTCCTGCAAGCTCAGCAGTGTCACTTTGCTACGCTGGCTCCTATGGATAGTTGGGTAGTGGCATTCACTGGGATGTGTTCCAAGAGGAATTGTAGCCATTTGTCCCCCTTTGGCTGGAAGTTGATGGCTGGTGGCACAGACAACTCTCTTCCTAGTGGGCAGACCCAAAGCAGAAGAAATCAGGGCAGCACCTCTTCAGGCGGTGAATAGTCTCGGCTAGCAGTGGGGATTCTTTCTGGAAGGACGGGCAGGGGTTTGGGGACCCATCGACTCTCCCCGGGTAAATCTATCCATATTGGCTACTTCTCCCCAGGCGATCTGTAGAGCAGCAGTGAAGTTGGGAGGCTATCCAAGTGGCCCTTGTTTAGCAGAGTTCCAACCTTCCTGGCTTGGATTGCGTCAAGCAAGTTTGTCCTCTTGGATGTCAAGGCTAAAAGTCAGCGTGTTTGTGCCAGGGGCGCATTTCAGCGAGGCTGGAATAGGATTTCAGGAGCCAGGGCCCTGCCTTGCAGAGCCATAGGCCTCAGGTTCAATGACCTCTCTCCGTCTCTTATGCACTGGGGTGGGGAGGCCACAGGGGCGCTCCTGCGGGGGAGGTACTGCTCGGCCTCATCCAATCAATGACTCTCTGACCAGCTTTGCAGTGGCACTGAGGGGTCGTGAAAGGGAGCTGAGCTGGATGGAGCGAAGGTTTCGTGGTCAGCGTTTATACAGGGGCTGGGGAGATGACAGGTGAAGGAGGAATGGTCATAAAGGCTCTGATAGGATGCAGACACTGGAGAAAGGGAAAATACTGAATAACCACGGAGCAGATGGAATTCGGATGCTACGACCACCGGTCCCAACCCCCTCAGTGGTGATCAGGCCCAAGAGTCCAGAGACAACAGTGGGGTCACAGCGGAGGGGGCTGAAATGAGTGGGGGAGGGGCACAGAAAGGCGGTTTGGCAAAGTAGTGACTGTGAGGGTACGTCTACACTACATGCCTCTGTCGGCAGAGGCATGTAGATTAGACAGATCAGCAAAGGCAAATGAAGCCGCGATTTAAATGATCGCGGCTTCATTTACATTTACGTGGCTGCCGCGCTGAGCCGACAAACAGCTGATTAGCTGTTTGTCGGCTCGCCGCTAGTCTGGACGTTCCCCCTGTCGACATCAAAGCCCTTTGTCGGCAGCCCCGTTATTCCTCGTGGGATGAGGTTTACCGGGGCTGCCGACAAAGGGCTTTGATGTCGACAGGGGGAACGTCCAGACTAGCGGCGAGCCGACAAACAGCTGATTAGCTGTTTGTTGGCTCAGCGCGGCAGCCACGTAAATGTAAATGAAGCCGCGATCATTTAAATCGCGGCTTCATTTGCCTTTGCTGATCTGTCTAATCTACATGCCTCTGCCGACAGAGGCATGTAGTCTAGACACAGCCTGAGAGGCCACGCTGGGGGCTGCTAGGAAAGCCAGTAGGTGGCACTGGTTACAGATTCGTTCCCCCACCGGTGCTAGCTAGTCCACCGTTTGCCACTTGAAGAGCCATAGGCAGGTGTGAAAAGAGTCCTTAGAACTGGGATAGGGAAGCTCTCCCCCCCCCCCCCCCCCGCCGCTGTCCCACCGTGGGGCTAGAGCACACACAATCTACGAGGCTGGGCCCTCCCATGCTCTGACATGGGAGGGGAATGTGCGGAGTGGCTTCCTCCTCAGTTGGGGGCCACGTCAGGAAGGATTTGGGGGTTTACTTTGGTTTTTTTGCTTCTCACTTGTGTGCGGCCCCTGACCCAAAAAAGGTTCCATCTCTGCCCTAGAACAGGTCTGCAAGTGTGCCACAAAGGTCCCTCTGCCATAAACTCAGCCTCCCCTCCTGTGCCCACAGCAGGTACGGCAGCTAATGCCGACCTGCTAAGTTGTCCCTGAGATTTAGTCCTTGATTCAGTTTTAAACTTTTTTTTTTTTTTAGTGGTGTTAGGCATTATTCACTCTGTAACCGCATCATCTTGGGCCCTATGAAGGCCTGAAGACAGGATTTCTACAGCCCAGAGCCTGCACCACTAGCTAAAGTCCCGTGTGTCCCAGGTGGGTGATGTACCAGACTCAATCCTCTGCGGTCCAGGCACATTCGTAATGCCTGCACATCAGTGGGTCACATGAGAACACCTAGTCCTCTTCTCAGCGATGAGTTCACCAGCTGGACAATAGGGCCAGTAGGAGAAAGTTCTGGGATTGAGCCTTTGCTAACTTCATCACTTGGAGGCTGTACCCCCAGCCTTTCCTTCAAAGAAGGCAGAGGGGATCTAATCAATTTTTGTGCATCTCGGTTTTCTGCAATGCCAACCATCAAAGCACACAGCACTCACTTGCTGTACCTCAGTATGGGTATGTCTACACTACCCTCCTAGTTTGAACTAGGAGGGTAATGTAGGCATACCGCACTTGCAAATGAAGCCCGGAATTTGAATTTCCCGGGCTTCATTTGCATAAGCGGGGAGCCGCCATTTTTAAATCCCCGCTCGTTCGAACCCTGTGCCGCGCGGCTACACGCGGCATGAACTAGGTAGTTCGAACTAGGCTTCCTAGTTCGAACTACCGTTACTCCTCGTGAAATGAGGAGTAATGGTAGTTCGAACTAGGAAGCCTAGTTCGAACTACCTAGTTTGTGCCCCGTGTAGCCGCGCTGCACGGGG